GCCTGAAACTCTCAGACTGAAGAAGTCTCTTGGAGGAGAGACGAAACGTTTCATTAAAGAAGAACCCGTCCAGAGGACCTATACTATTTTTTTCTTCATGTAGTTTTTGATTATTTTAAGCAGTTTTATTTTTGTCACTCTGCTGCACCAGACAATACTAGCCTACGTTTGCATCACAGCTAACAAGCTAGCTATTTAGTTAGTCTGGTAATACAGCTTTGGTAAAACAGCATGATACTGGATGAAACTAACCTTTTGCAGTCTTTTTTTCATGCCGGTTAAAATGACTAAGTAACTTTAATAAGCCTGAGAAGTTCATGTTTTGGAAGGAGGGAGAGTTTGTGAGTCATGAGTAAAATCGCTGTTGTGGTGTATTAATACTAGTTTGGTCGATGCCTTAGCTTATTTCCCGCCTTTTGTTTGCGTGATGTATGATTCTGCTCCTTAAACTAGCTGGCCATGCTTCCATGGCCATGAGCTTAATTTCATAGTTTCTTGTGGTGCCAATGCCATAATACTGTTAACATGGAAGTATGGATTCACTACAGTAAATTGCATCATTGATCTAGAAATTTTCTCTAAAGGTTGTATTTTGTTGAAAAAAATAGTCTAGGTCAATGATGTGATAATTTTCATTTAGTAAACTCAGCTATTCAATTACAATTAACTAAACTAAAGAAGTGGGACTCTAAAAGAGTATTATATATAAATACTGGCTTGGATTACATAATTGAATGTGAGATGTCACTTGTCTTCTTACTGCTATTCTTTTTCCAGATACCTAATGATTTTCTCCTCCTCTTGTCCTGCTTTCTCACCTCCATGTGGCAACATAGATTTAATAAATATAAGTTTAAGATGTACACATCAAAAGGAGGCAGGAGGTTCTCCAGGAGACAGCATTTCCAGAGTTCAAAAACAAATGGCCAGCACTCTTTGATGTCAGTGAGGTAAGTATGAATCTGAAGTGCAATAATTTGGTCTATCAATGATCTTTTTACAAACTGTTAAAATATGAATCCTCTCTAAGTTGTCTTTTACAGATCAGCTTGAGTTTATGGGACTGAGAACTGTACCTCTGACCTCCAAATTCCATGGAGAAATGGACTGTCAGACAGACAACTTGATCAAATGCCTGATCAATGTCAAAGGTGGAACTGCAGGAAGAAAGATCACCACCGTAATGGCCCCAATGGACAACGTAAGTTTTTTTTCCTGATAAGCATATGGTTTGTGCAACTCAGCTGTATGTTTTCAAAATTACTCTTTACTAAAGGGGCTTGGACCTGTGTGAGCTTTACCAGAGTAGGTTAAAGCAAGGTGATGGGTTGGTCAAGTAGGGTAATGTCAGTAACTTTTTTAGCCTCAGCATCTGTATGTTAATGTGTGTCTGACACTGAAAAATAATTTGATAAAACATGTGAGAACAAGACTACTACTGTAAAGGATAATTATCAGCTTTAATTGTTGCTGTCACCTTGATGGAAAAGTGCGGAATTTGAGAGTAGGCTGTGAAAAATTTCAGGTTTACAAGAACACAAACTGCAACCTTATCTTTTTTTTCCAGGTTTTTAGGAGGTGATTAAAGGTCTTAAGGTCAATGTGACCTTTGAACTTGCATCTATCTCATTCTCATGAACACAAGTATACAGTGCTTTTAAGAAATGTCTTCAAAGTAACACTCAGTTGTCCTAAGGATGAGCTGCTTAGAACTTGGTCAAGTTTAAGGTCACACAGCTAATTATTCTGTTCTCTTCATATTCCAGGACATTGAATCGAGACAGGCTGAGGCAGACATTGCAGAGAAGACCATGGGCATCTACACTGTCTGAGCAGAGGGCCATGGTCATGATGATCCAGGTGATGGAAGCTTTGCTGATGTTGTGCTGGAAGGTGTGGATGTTCTCCATAACCTGCAGTGTATCAGCCATGCATGCAAGATGCTTTATGGACTGATACATGGACTCAACTTGAGCTGTCCAAAAAGCCTGAAGCACACATTTGAGGTGTACCAGAAAATCTTGATGGATCTGGACTCAACCAAGCTTTCACCAAAAGTACAGGCACTGATACTCAAATCACTCCAGTGATTTGGCTGGTAATTACGCACTTACACAGCTTCTACCTGATTTTATTGTATTTTTTTCTTTATGTACTAATCAGACATGATCTTGTGTTTAAATGATCCCTTAGTTCTTGAAGGTTGTGTCAGGGAAATATCTGTTTGATACATTTGTACCTGTAATAGTGTGTTTTCTGTCTTTTGATGTTGAAGCAGTGATATGAGTGTTGCTGTGTAGCTGGGTTCATGAGTAGTTTGTAAAGTGTGTAAGCTGGCAGTGTTGTAGTGGTGCAGCTCAAACCAGATTTTTCTTGAATTATTTCCAGATTCAATGGGAGCTAGTTAAAAAGATAATTCTTCTAAAGTGACTCAGTTCTACTCAGGTAAAGACATTTTTTTCCAATATTGAAAGAAAAGTATGACAAAAACAGGACATAGGGTGTTGTTGTGAATGTACACAAGTCAAACTTTTATTGAAATACATACAGTGGTTTGCAAAAGTATTCATACCCCTTGAACTTTTCCATATTTTGTCACATTACAACCACAAACATAACTAGAACTGCAAAGCAGTTATGACCGGGGTCCAAGCCCTTTTATGCATGTCAGCCTTTGTCATGTTGTTTGTAGCATATTGT